AACACAATTAACATTTAGCAAAATATTAAGAAAAAAAAAGAAAAAGATTTTAGCTAAATATTAGGTTTTGCAAAAAGTAGAAGAGAAGATATATACTAAAATAAGCAAATGCAGAGAGTGTAAAAATGTAATAGAACAAATAATAAACAATTGCAAAAGTAAATAAAATAGAATAATAATATAAAAGCAGTTCCAAAAACATTAGTAAAAAAAGGCAATAACAAAATTAATGCAACATTGAAACAAATATTAGAAAACAGAACAATAAAAAAATAAAAAAGAAAGAAAAGAAGACTAATTAAACTAAAACAAATAGAAGAACTAGAGATAGAATTAATCAAAAAACAAAAATTAGATATATAATAAAATCACAGTTTACTTAATAAAAGTTCTAATGAAAAAACATGATAAGAAACAAAGATAAGTATATCTTTTATACAGACAAAGCATTATATAAAAAGAAAGAGAAAATAGTATAGGAAAGATGAGTATTGGTTGAATACAGATCAGTAATAAAGAAAACTGGCCAGAAGAAGAAATAGCATTGAGACTTGAAGACTGGCCTTCAGTAACAATAACAAAATTAGTAGCAATATAGTTAGCAATTTTAATTGTACCAGAGAGAAAGAATATAAAAATACATACAAATAGCCTTGCAGTGCTAAAGAACATTAATAGAGCAATTCAAAGGTTAGAAAATAACAAAGTTCTAAAAAAGAAAAATGCAATGTAAATAATGAATATTGTAAATTTAGTTAAAAATAAGATTAATAGAATAGAACTAGTTAAAGTTAAAAGTTACAGTAATGATAAATAGAATAACAGAGCAGATGTACTTGCAAAGAAAGAAGCAACATATAGAATAGCAATATCTATAGAGAAGATCAAGTGTAACAGAATAAAGTACTATCTAGAATAGGAAAACAGAAAAGTTAATATACCAATAAGACTTCTTTGCAAATAGTTATGAATGCCAGAATTAGAGCTAGTTGGTAAGAAACAAATTTGATTTAAGTATTAGAACCAAAAACAGAAAACATTTAATACAATTGGTTAAGTTTTTGAAAAGAAATGAATAGAACAAAAAATATATACTGTATAACAAGAAAACTTAGTATAAGAAGAGCAACAATAATTAAATATATAATAGATAATCTACTAATACTAGAGAAATTAAATAGAAAAAGATCAGAAATATGTACAAAAACAGATTGCTAAGGATGTCAAACAGGCAAAAAAGAAACTAAAGCATATTTGGCAAGTTGCAGTAAACAAAAAAACCTATAAAAGAGAATCCAAAAGGTAGCAATAGCAACAGCATGAAATAGTCTTAAAAAAAATGAAAAAATTAGAATTTTATTTTGAATGTTATATGAGGCAACATTTGGAAAAACAGAAACAAAGAAAATTATTAACAAAAAAGCATTGATAAAAGTGCTAACTATGAACAAAATAAGAAAAGAATTAGTCAGATTCTAGATAAATAAGCAATATAAAGATATATAAAGATAGTAACAAGAATAGTATAGAACAGTGTTGTCACGTCTACTATGTCCAAGACTTTTTTTGCCTTTGTCCACATCCAAACGTCCACACTGTCCACAATTGTCCAAAGAAATTTTAGACTTTAAAATTTAATAAATTAGTTTAAAAAAGATATGATTATATATTTTTTATAGTTCTGAATATTTTTATTTAAAAATTAAAATAGGTTATCTTAATAAATTTTTGAGTAATTTAGATTTGTTTTTTTGTCCAAAATTGTCCACAATTTGTCCAGAGCTGTCCCGTGACAACACTGGTATAGAATACATTCAATAACTAAATATAAAAAGTTTGATATAAAAAAGTATAAGAATAAGAAAAAAAAATAAATATAACAAGCAAATTGAAAAAAGATATTCAAATTAAAAAAAAATCAGAAAAAAGAACAAAGAAAGATAAGTTAACAAAGAAAGAAAAAAAAAAAAAAAAGATAAAAAAAATAAATCATACAAAGAAAAAAGCTTAAAAGACAATTGATATGCTTGTTACAAAAAGAAAAAAACTTTTTTGATATGATTTTAAGTAGTTAGATAAGCAGTCTATCTCTAACTGAGATAGTGTAGCAAGTTGCACTTAAATATCAATAGAGTGGCCGAGTGATGCTAGACTTAGGTATTAGAAAATTCTATATAATTATAAATATATATAGTTTTAAGAATCTTAATAAAAAGAGTATAGCAACCTAGTAAAGTGAATAAGTTGTTAACCTCCAAGTAGCCAGTCTAGAGTTCAAATCCCAGTAATAGTGAAAATTTGCAATTCTTTCTGTATTATGGCTAACTTTCTTTTGTGATTAGTTGGGATTAGATATCTGTAATCTATATCATACTAGCATAACTAGAAGGTTTAGACATTTGTATAATATTGTATAAAGAAACACAAATCAGTACTGGATAGTGTGAACTTAAAATAAGTTCTTAGGCTATATAAATTATAGAAATTAGGTAGAAAGATGGAAGTCCACTTGGAAAATCTGAGTAAAAAGATAATTTAAACTTTTAATAGTGTTACTATAAAGACTAGACTTATGAAATGAAGCTAAAATTTATAAAACTAAGCAAATATATCAGTTTTTAAGGAGAAACTGGATAAACCAATCAGATCACTAGAATTTCTGGATTTTAGAGAAAAAGAGTACATGCTAGCAAATATATAAATCAGAGGTGTATGATTATGATTTACCTTCCTGAACTATTTAGAATAGCAGCTTGATAAAACTTGAATTAAATACCAAAGTAGTAAGAATATGTTATAAAGTCTGTACTGAAATTGGAATAAACTTTACAAAGACATAGTAGTTTAATAGTATGTTCTGATTGCCAGTATTTGTTCTAGCCATAATGATACTTGGTCAGCTATAAAAATAAAATACAAAAGATTTTAAAAGGTTTAATACAAGATCAAAAATTTTAAAGAACTGCTTTAAAAACTTAGTAACAATAATATATTTTTATTAGCATTGATTAGAATCATTAGTAGGCAGAGTTATATAGGTAGATATAGAAACTAAAATGGTTAAATAAGAAATCTACAAGAGGTTTCAGGTATGGCAACTAGTATAGAACCTTCAGGCAGACTACTTAAATTAGATAATAACTAAAGTTGTATAAATAGCTAGTTATATATTCTTTTCATAATTGGCTTCTATAATTGTAATACAACTATTAACTAAATATATTATCAATAAAATCCTAAGTCACAAATACTCACCTTAATATTTTTAAAAAAAAAGAATCTTAATAAAATACTAATATAAAGATTGTATCATTAATCATTTAATTATTTTTTATCAGAGATATATTCTTCCTCTTCTTTTAATATATAAATAGTTAGATTCTTTATATATAATTTCAACTTTTTTTATCTCTTTCTAAAAAATCACCTGATTTTTGATACTTTCCTAACTGCTTAAGATTTAAAAAAAAAGAAAATTATATAATAAACTTAATAAAATATAAGTTATCTTATTAGTACAATAATATATAAAGAGAGTGTAATAATCTAGTAAAGTAGATAGGTTGTTAATCTCTAAGTGACAGGTCTAGAGTTCAAATTCTAGTAATGATGAAAATTTGCAATTCTTTTTGTGTTATGGTTAACTGTCTTCTGTAATTAATTAGAATAAAATACTTGTAATTTATATTATATCAGCATAATTGAAAGATTTAGGTACTTATACAATGTTGTATAAAAAAATACAAACTAGTACTGGGTAATATATATGAATTCAATATAAGTTTTTAGACTATATAAATCATAGAAACTAGGTAGGAAAACAGAAATCCATTTGGAAGACCCAAATAAAGAAGTAATCTGAACTTTTAACAATATTACTGTAAAGACTAAACTTATGAAATTAGACAAATATATCAGTTTTTAAGAAAGGATTGGATAAACCAATCAGATTATTAGAATTTTTGAGTTCTGAAAAAAAAAGGTACATGCTGACAAATATGTAAACCAGAAGTGTATAGTTTCAACTTATCTGTTTAGACTATCTGAAATAACAACTTGATAGAACTTGAATTAAATATCAATATAGTAAGAATATATTGTAAAGTTAGTATTAGGATTAAAATGAGCTTTACAAGAGCATAATGATTTAATGATATGTTTTGACCACCAATATTAATCTCAACCATAGTGATATTGGGTCAACTGTAAGAATGAGATACAAAAAATTTTAGAAAGTTTAATACAAGGTTGAAAATTTCAAAAAACTATTTTAAAAACTTAGTGATCATAATATATTTTTATTGATATTGATTAGAAGCTTTGATAAACAGAAGTAGATGGATAGATACAGAAACTAGAGTGCTTAAATAGAGAACCTACAAGCAGGTTCCAAGTATGACAACTAGTGTAAAACCTTCAGGTAAACTATTTAAATTAGACAATGATTAAAGTTGTACAAATGACTAGTTGTATACTCTTTTTATAATTGTTTCTTGTGATTATAATGCAATCATTAGCCAAATATACTACCAATAAAATCCTGGGTCGCAAGTACTTATCTTAATATTTAAAAAAAAAATAATAATAATATATAAAAACTATTTTACTATTTTGTAGATCTTTACAAAAATGACAACATTAATTTTAAAAAGTAAAAAAAAAACGTTAAAATGTCTAAAAACCTTCTGATTGTGAAAAAAAAAAAAATTCACTAAGAAAAAACATTCCACTCTTAGGTTAGATTAGGTTTAAGGTATTATTAATGTAGGTTTAAATTTATACCAAATTTTATAAGGAAAACTTTATTAGTATGCATTACACCTGATCTCGAAATCAGATTGGCTAGCGAAATTTTTTTAATCATCCGATTAAAGTCTGGATGTTCGGTTACACAAATCTCAAAATTTTTGAAAACAGATCTCTATCACATGATATAAGTTTAGTCAAGTAATGTCTGATCCGATCATATCGATATTTTTTTTATTTTTAAAACAAAAATCATGGATTCTTCAGACATAGTAGATATCGGTCTCGCAGACCTTTCGTGGGCGAAGTTTTTAAAATCCCGAGCTTTATACAGCATCACAAGCTCAAATACCACACATCGTCTAGAATTTCTGAATCATTCGTTATTGCCCCGAATAAAAGCTGGCGGTAAGTAGCATTAATGCAAACTTCAATTTTATCACATAATTGGCTCTAATTGCTATTTTTTATATACTGTATCTCTTACAATTATAAAATAGATCTCACTGAAAATTTACTTGGAAGCCTCCTTCACCTTGTCTTCTTGACTCATTCCAGATATAATGATAAGCCTTCACGTCTTGCCATATTAAATATTTTAAAAGAACTCAATAACTGGAATTCTGAGCTTTTTTTAAATGCATTTGTTCCAATGGTCGTCAAAGAAGCTGATAAATTAAACCAAAAGAGTCCCGACTGGTATGAAATCAATCGAGTTTAAGCTTTTTAAGGAAATTGTTATTTAAATACTTGATTATATATAGCACCACGTACACGACATCGTCCACTATTCGATTTGTTCTTCTCACATGGGTTAATACATTAATCAACTTTGTTTTATCGGCTACCACCGACGCTAAGTCATCACCACACTGGAAGAGTTTAGTAGATGCTCAAGCAGTACTTTTGTATTCGCTAACTTATGAAAATGAAAAAAGAAAAAGCGTGACAAATAGTGCAATTGCTGGTGTTAGAAATTGTATTCGTAAGGTATATGAATATAGATAGATGTAATAGCTATTCATTCTATCTGTATGATTTCCCGCATATTCAATTTACTCACTTTCATACAGAATGCATCACATATTCCTTCATATATAAAATATCTTACTTCCAGTGGGAGATCATGTAATGTTATGTATAGCGATACTGTCTTACTTGGAACAGTTGTTGATTGTTCTTTACGGCTTAAAAATGAAAACGGCAGAACTTTTGTGGAGAGTGCAAAGGTATTTAACGGGTTGCGATCTTAGTGAACATAATATTACAAATTCTATTCCAAGATATTAAATGACTTGTTTATTAATAAATATCCTTAGGATGATATTATACAATTTTATATAACAGGCATCGCATCCTCTAAAAATACTGTACCGCAAACATCAAAAGTATTTTGTTTTCATATTGTAATTGATTTTAATCAAATCAAATTTAACTCTACCTTCCTTCTTTGTTGTAGGATGCACTACATGATTTTATTAAATTTATAGTTACGGAAGAAAACTTTCAAACTAAGTTAATTCCGGTTTTCGAAAAACTTCTCCTAAGAGCGCCTGAAATCGTATTGAGTGGTTTGTTATTCACTATCAAGATTGCGAATCTATTATTCTAATACCTGTTAATTCTGTATTTTTGTTTCGATAGTGCTGGCCTCCATAGTTAAATATTTATCATTCGACTTGTCAAATTTTTTAAAGAAAAATTTTTTGCAACCTTTACTTGTACACATTCGATCCTCTAATAAAATGGTACAAGCAGATGCAATAACATTACTAAAGATACTTGTCGAAAAGAGTTGCAATGATGACGTTCTAATCGATATTGTTAAAGATATTATTCAGGCATTGAGTGGAGGTCTGTACTATCAATAGCAATTATATACCGTAACTGCTTATTATGAATTAAAATTTTTTTAAATCATATTTTTTATAGGGACTGTAAAAGTTGCCAGCCCAGAACATCGCATCATCTTATTTCAAACTTTAGGTCACATACATCGAACACCTAACGTTTCAAAAAATGTGATCGAAGGATTATTGCCAATTGTTTTAAAAGAAAGCACCGAAAATTCTTTAGCTAAAGCCATTGATGCTCTAGGTTTACATTTGAAATTACTGTTAAGTACGAAAGACGAAATTCTCGTGGAAAAAGTTACAGGATCCATTGCAGAAGGATTGGCTAGTGCTAAAACTGGAGAGAGAAAAGCATGGGCTACTGTAATCGGGCGACTTGCGTGGGAAGAGACAGGATACCCTTCAATCTCACTTCGTAATGTAATTTTCAAGTCTCTTGCACCTCTTACGTTGACTGTGGAAAAGATTCAAGCAAATGCTCTTAACTTTATTGGCGGGCCGATTGAAGGCTATATACTAGTTGCCATTACTGAAGGTAGAGCAGCAAATTGGAATGATGAAGAGATCAGTAAGCATTGATTAAAGTCATTAATTCAGGCAAAATTGATTAGGCAAGAAATTAATAATTTATTTACAATGTTACAATGCAATAGATGCATTTATCAGAACAAGAAAGCTCAAACAAAATATTTTGGCTACTTCACCCAAACTTACATTCTTGCTTTTGGACAAAGTATATTCCAAGATCAACAGTGTTGACGAATATTGTTGGTTTATTCGGTCCCTTGAGAGCATAATTCTTAATGAAGACGAAGTTTCATTGCAAAAAGCAGATATCAAGTAAATATCACATGCTAAAAGATACAAAGTTAAATTCATATTGGCGTTAATTCATTTTCTAACGTATAAATTGTCTCTAGAGTGTACATAGCTACTGCCTTTATTTATATGATTTCGACATCTCATCAGGCTAGTCGTAATGCGTATGATGCTCTTAAGACATGCGTCCAAATAAATCCAAACTTTGTAGGTGAAATGATTCGGGAAGGATTAACTAGTTGGGTATTTAATGTATGTCAAATACTAAATCTAGTCCTTTTTATACATTAACTACGAATAAGTGGGTTTTTTTTCCTAAAATTGCCGTATAAATAAATTTTCTTTAGCTTGAAAAGAATGTCAAAGACTCTACAGCAGTTTTAGCATCTGCAACTGCACATTCCAATCCTGCCGTTAATGCGTATAGACTTTCAAAAGTGCTCACAGCCATTACAACTTTTTCCGAAAAAGTTGACAGATCAGATGTAGAAAAATCGCTTGTTGAGCTAATAATTTTATCTCATCATTCCGCAATTGGTTGGTAACGTTTTGTCGATCTAATTAAAGTGATTTTATATATATTTAAGAATCAATTTTACTGCAACTCTAGCGTCACCTACCGATAAGTATAATTGGATAACCTTAGTACAAAGAGCAAAACTTGATCCCGGAAAGTTAGTTGAAAAGTATTCTGGACGTATCCTACAATTAATACAGTCGGCAATTGAAAATAATAGTGAAGTAAGCTTTCCTTCCTTTTTAAAAAAATATCACGTTATTATTCATTTTACCTCACCATGCAATACTTTTTCTACTTAAAGTCACAAAATTTTTATCAAGCCGCTTTGTCAGCGATATCAACTGTTACTTTTATTTCACCTGATAAATTTGTGCCAATACTTATTATTCAATGTCGTAATTATTTGGATCCTTGCTTGTTTGAAAAAATAAATGATCAAGAGATAGGAATATGGAAAACTGTAGAAGGGACCTTGTTTGTCAATGGTAATGTCTTATATTTTATTTTGGTCACGTTCAAAAATTAGTCTTGTTGATTAACTTTTATTTCATTGAATAGTACTCAAAAATAAGAAACAAGTTGTAGAAAATCGCAATAAAAAAGATTATCAAACTGAAAAGTGGGAACGTGAAGTACGTGAAAAAATAGCTCAAAAGAAAGGCATATCGGCGCCTAAACTAACGAAGGAAGAGCAAGTTACAGTAAGTGCCCAACTGGCAAAAGAATCTGAAACGCGCAAAGCTGTTGAGAATGTTCGTCTAAAATTAATAAGGGGTCTTGATATTGTGGGTGCGATGGTGAAAGGAAACTCAGAAGCTATTGAACAATATATTGTAGAGTTAATGAAATTATTGCATAATGTTTTACAAAAATGTGGTCCATTGGTCGGGGAAAAGGCAGTTAATACATATTTGAATATCAGTTTCTGTACATCTGAAAAGATTGAAAGCATTCGCATCCCAATTGGCTTAGCGACTCTCCGTGTTATGCAAGTCCAAGAGATTCCGGAAAGATGGCTTCAAGAACCACTGGATCTCCTTGTTTCACGCGTACTATTCCGTCTTCGTATCATAACAGAACGCTCACTTATTTCACCTTCGTCATTTGCTTACTGTTTTTCATTAATTCATCAAGTTATTATGAAAGGTGGAATTGATTTACATAATGAAAAAACAAAAGATTCAGAAACGTCAATTGAACAAATTGCATTAGGATTGGATATAATTTCTTTCCATACTGTTATTGGATCTTCATTGTTGCTTCCACGATCTGAAATGATTCATACACTTTTACATATAATTAAAGAATATCCCAAATTTACAAAAGTTGCAAGGACTGCCATGATTAACTTATGCGAGTCTATTGGTGAAACAGCAGAACAAAAGGAAATAAATGTTCTGCTCACCGGATTGCTTTCTCCAGAAGCATTTGTTCGTCATGCTTGTTTACAAGCATTAAATAATTTGGATCTTACAGATATTGATTTTTCGTGTGAACTATGGATAGCTTGTCATGATGAGGATGAACATAACGCAAAGCTGGCAATAGCCTTATGGGAATCTAACGGAATGGACGTTGAACCGAGTTACAATGTCGAATTGCTGCCTTATTTGATTCACGAAGAAAAATATGTCAGAGAGTGCGCTGCTAAATCTATTGGTAACGCATCAAAATATTTCCCTGATTCGATTGCAGACACATTGGCACTGATTTATGAACAGTATAAGGAAAAGGTGAATGCAAAATTTATTAATATTAATCATTTTATAAACTAATTCCTTAACGCAGTAGTACCATAGATTCCAATTTTTATTTCAAATCATGCACTTAGGCAAAACCAGTTCAGCCTGAGTATGATGAATTCGGTATTTTAATACCTGAATCACTAAATAAAGAAGACCAATGGGAAGCTCGTGTAGGATTAGCACTTTCACTCGGGACACTAGCACAAAATTTAAGACCAACGGACTTGAAACCTTTATTTGAATTCCTGATAAATGATGATGCAGTAGGTGACATTCATGCGCAAGTTCGGCAAAAATTGTTGGAGGTATGAAAGATGTTTGATATTTTCTATATTTAATTATTATTAAGTTTTTTTATGCTTAATTTCTTAGGCAGGTTTGGCAGTTATTGACTCCCATGGTAGCAAGAACGTTGCTTTACTCATGTCAGTGTTTGAAAATTATTTGGATAAACCTGCTACGCCAACAGAAACTCATGATCGTATTCGTGAATCTGTTGTTATTTGGTTTGGTGCTCTGGCAAAACATTTAGATCTTACAGATTCAAGAATTCCTGTGATTATTGATAAGTTACTCGATGCACTAAAAACTCCCTCCGAAGCCGTTCAAGTAGCTGTTGGTGATTGTTTGCCGCCTTTAATCAAGTTTATGAAAGACAAAGCACCAGATTTGATTTCTGGTCTGCTGAATCAGTTATACCATTCTGAAAAATATGCAGAGAGAAGGGGTGCTGCATATGGTTTAGCTGGTGTCGTGAAAGGCACTGGTATTTCATCTTTGAAAGACTGTAATATAATAACTGTATTGAAGCAAGGTGTGGATAATAAAAAGGACTATAGATTTCGACAAGGCGCTCTCTTTGCATTTGAAACATTATCACAAAGTCTCGGACGTCTTTTTGAACCTTATGTTATACAAATATTACCATTGTTGTTAGTATGTTTTGGTGACACTCACCCTGATGTTAGAGAAGCGACGTCAGATACAGCTAGAGCTATTATGAGCAAACTAAGTGGTCATTGTATTAAACTTATTTTACCAACGCTACTGGCAGGATTAGAGGATCGCCAGTGGAGAACAAAGAAGGGATCGATCGAATTGCTGGGGTCAATGGCTTTTTGTGCGCCTAAACAACTATCAATTTCTCTTCCTACCATAGTTCCCCGATTAACGACTGTACTCTCTGATTCACATAAGGATGTTCAATCAGCTGCAAATGAAGCTTTGTTACATTTTGGAGAGGTTATTAGCAATCCGGAAATTCAAGCTCTCGTACCGATTCTACTTCGTAGCTTAAGTGATCCTGATAAAAATACTAATGCTGCGTTGAATTCTTTATTAGAAACTGCTTTTGTTCATTATATTGATGCACCGTCATTGGCATTGGTAAGGGAAACTTTATCATTGCCAGATTGTATTTGAATAATGAACGCGTTTAACATTGTACCTACTGTCTTTTGTTCTTGAAGGTAATGCCCATCCTTGAAAGAGGTTTGAAAGAGCGTAGTACTGAGGTTAAAAAAAAATCTTCGCAAATAGTTGGTAACATGGCGTCTTTAACCGATATTAAAGATCTTGTCCCTTATTTGCCACGACTTTTACCAAGCCTTAAGGAAGTGTTAGTAGACCCTGTACCCGAAGCTCGTGCTACAGCAGCTAAATCATTAGGTACAATGGTGGAAAAGCTTGGGGAAGACAAGTTTCCAAATCTTGTAAATGAACTAGTAAATACTCTTAAATCAGATACTAGTGGTGTTGACCGACAAGGTGCTGCACAAGGACTTAGCGAAGTATTAGCGGGATTGGGTATAGGCCGTCTTGAGGGACTTTTGTCTGAAATTGTAATTAACGCCACTAGTCCAAAGTCATATGTGCGTGAAGGATTTATTTCCTTACTTATTTATCTTCCGGCAACATTTGGTCTAAGGTTTCAACCTTATCTTGGCCGCATTATTCCTCCAATATTATCTGGTTTAGCTGACGAATCAGAATATGTTCGAGATGCTTCACTTAGAGCAGGTCGAATGATTATTACAAACTATGCGACTAAAGCTGTGGATCTGTTTCTTCCTGAATTAGAAAGAGGGTTATTTGATGACAATTGGAGAATTAGACAAAGTTCTGTGCAACTCATGGGAGATTTATTGTATCGAATCACTGGTATTAGTGGCAAAGGAACTACTGAAGGAGAGGAAGAGGAAGAAACTGGAGGGACTGAAGCTAGTCGTAAAGTTTTATTACAGGTTCTCGGAAAGGAAAGGCGTGATCGAGTTTTGGCTGCTTTATATGTTGTTCGACAAGATGGTAATATATCAGTCGTATTGTTTATAAAAATTTTCAGTAAATTTCTTTATTGATCGATATGAATATTCTAAAAAATTTATCTTTTACCAAGTATCTGGTATCGTCCGACAGTCATCTTTACATGTTTGGAAATCTATCGTTTCAAATACACCTCGCACTGTCAAAGACATACTACCAATAATGATGGGCTTGATTATTAAAAACCTCGCAAGTCCGAGTTTCGAGAGACGTCAAGTAGCTGCACGCACTCTTGGGGAGCTTGTTCGCAAGCTTGGTGAAAGCGTTATGTCAGAAATCATACCTATTTTAGAGGAGGGTTTAGAATCTCCTGAATCAGATAAGAGACAGGGTGTTTGTATTGGCTTGAGTGAAATAATGAGTACAGCTGGAAAGGTACAAGTTATTGACTATGTAGATTCAATTATCCCAGCTGTTAGAAAGGCATTGGTTGATGAATCTGGTGAAGTACGTGAGGCGGCAGCTCAAGGTAAGCTTTTTTGGATATTATATGTGGAGTTCCCAACTCTTATACAGATATTTAATAACCATCATATCTACATTTTAAAGCTTTCGATACACTTCAGCAACATGTTGGTGATAAAGCAATCGATGAAATATTACCTACCCTTCTTAATTCTCTCCAATCTGGAGAAGATTCTACTTATGCGTTAGAAGCTTTGAAAGAAATAATGACAGTGCGTGCTAATGTAGTTTTTCCGGTTCTCATACCTAATCTTATCACAGTACCTATTACTACATTCAATGCTCGAGCTCTTGCGTCACTAGTAACTGTTGCTGGTGCTGCTCTTAACAAAAGACTTTCGAATATTTTGACAGCACTCATGGCGTCCTTGGGCATGGAAACCGATGATGCTGTAATTTCGGAGCTTCAAGAAACAGAACGTGCACTGTTGCTTTCTATCGATAGTAATGAAGGTCTTCAAAACTTGATGATAATACTTTTTGAAGCAATTAAGAGTGATGAACCTGCAAAACGAGCTGGTGCATGTGATATTGTTACAATATTTTGCAGTGAGACTAAGATGGACTTTTCAAGATACACGACAGAATGGATACGAGTTTTAGTATCACTTTTAGATGATCATCAACTAGAGGTAGTCAAATCAGCATGGAATGCTCTAAATGCTGTGACAAAATCCGTAAAGAAAGATGATCTGGAACAATTGGTTACGCCTCTTCGTCGTTCAGTGAAAGGTGTCGGAGTTCCTGGAATTGACTTACCAGGATTTTGCTTGCCAAAGGGAATAAGTCCCATTCTTCCAATATTTTTACATGGATTGATGTATGGTACTGCTGAAATTCGTGAACAGTCTGCTTTGGGAATAGGTGATCTTATTCAACGAACGTCGGCTGATGCTCTCCGACCATTTGTGACACAAATAACGGGCCCACTTATTCGTATAATCGGTGATCGTTATCCTCCTCAAGTGAAGGCAGCTATATTGCAGACATTGAGGTCTGTAATTTATTTCAATGTTTATCATCAACATTTAATGTTGAGTTGCCTTTACTGACGCATTAACATGTAAATGTTTAGTTTATTGCTTGAAAAGGTTTCTGCCCTCCTTAAACCTTTCCTCCCACAACTTCAACGTACTTTCGTCAAATCTTTGACCGATCCGACAAGTGCCCTTGTTCGATCACGTGCCGCAAAAGCTCTTAGTACTCTGATTTCACTACAAACGCGTGTAGATCCTTTGATGCTAGAATTGGTTTCTGGAATAAAAACGAGTGAGCCTAGTGTGCGCGAAACTATGTTAAATGCTTTGGAAAGCGTCGTGAATAAGGCAGGAGATGGTATGAATGAAGCTTCAAGGAAGGGTGTTCTTGAAGTGATTGCAAATGGGCTAAATGAGTCTTCCGGTATGTATACATAATTTGCACTTATAATGTTGGATTATTAAATTGAATATATATATTTTTATAGAAGGGATGGTGGTTGGTGCCGCACGTCTTCTTGGAAGTCTGTGCAAGCATCTTCCGCACCAAGAAGCTATGCCTCTCATCACGTAAGTTTTAATATTTGATTCATAGAGTTTGATTCAATTATAATTTTCAATTTACTATAACATTTATCATTTATATTAATAGAAATTATATTCTATCAGGAGAACCGACGCAAAGTTCGCTTTTAGCTATCAACGCAATTCTTGCAGAAGCACCACGGGTCTTTGTTGACTTAGGAATTCATAAAGAAATAGTTAGTATTGTATCTGCTGGCAGCAAGAGTAATCAGGTAAATTATTGCAAGTTAATTTTCATAAAGCGCTGGCTTTATACATTACAATACTCACTCATTACTCTTTTATAGCCATCAATTGCGGATAATTCAATTATTGCAGCTGGTAAAATTTTGCTTACAGAACTTTATCATGAACAAAATACAATAAGTCGCCTTGTGGAAGCATTGGTACATGATGTCCGTGAACCTGCTACCTTGGTTGGGGAAACAAAACGATTGGCTTTGGTCGCTTTTCGAGTAATTGGAAGAAAATATCCACAGGTATGGTATTAAATATTTTTATATTTATTAATATTAATGATTATTAAACAATTATTTTAATTTATAGATTTTGGAACCTCATTTTTCCGAGATTATTCCTCAAATGATGGTGTGTGCTCGAGATCGAAATGTACCTGTGAAACTTGCATCTGAGCGTGCGTTGTTGTACGTACTTCAACTTCTGGATGGCGAGAACGTGATGCAGGTAAATGCATTTCTGGTTCTCTTATATTACGAAAATTTTAAATATTTGTTACTAATATTTCACTGAAATATAGAACTATTTATCAGCAATCGATTCTCAAACAGCCAAAACTTTTATTGATTTTCATAAACGCGTTTTATCTAAACTTGTATCACAAGAACGACAGAAAATAGAACAATTACAGGCGGGTTATATGACTGAGGTAGATGAAGACGCAGAAGAAGAGAGAGAAATTTGGGCCGTTGGCAGTGTTGGATTTTTTGGAACCAATGCCGAACAGGATTAGTTTCTAATTTGTTTGTACAGTTTGCTTATTATTGTATTATAAGTGTATTTCATAGATGATAATTGTATCTATTATTAATTATTTGCATCTCGATGTACTGATTGTTGAGATTGCATAATTGAATAAATTTAAAAAGTATATTATTATTTTAAGCTTTAACATTATTAATGTCATTTTTCAAAATCAGTGTATAGAATCTATGCGCTTAATCAGAATCATGTAAAGTACAATAGTAATATTAGTATACGCAGTGAGATTTTATGTATAAAATAGGATTGGCATACTTATTAGCAAGAAAAACTATGCTTAAAAAAATTGGTTTATCTTGATTATTAACATTTTCTTTTGTGAAAAAATTTTAATAAGTTTTTTAAAACGAACTTTATTCTATTATTATGCTGTATGTAATTTGATGAAGAAAATGATTTATGTTTTAGTTTATAAAAATTTTAAATTGAAATTTTTTTTTTTTGATATTAAGGTGACTTTTTTGGTCTTTTGACTTTTATTAACTTTTTTGGTAATGAACCACTACAGGAGAGTGTACAATTGGTTACACATGTAACTTTTCTATATTACCTATTTAAGGAGTCTGCCTAAAGGTTCCTTACCAATTGTCATATCTAACATTCCTGCTTGGGTGTTTCACTTTAAACCCTCTAAACCTGCAATTTTTATTAACATCACTAGATCATATCCAGATGCTCAAATCATCATTTCAACCTTAGGATTATTTTATCCTTAAGGTAAATTTTTTGGAGTTTTTTGTACTTATTTTTATAGTTAATCTGATATCATTATGACAGAATTGTATTTACTTATTTTTATCTACCTTTTCTATGATTTCTATTAGTCACAGGTGGATCTAATTTCCAATTAAGTGAAATTATTAGTATGATTTTCTACACTTATTTCTAACTTTATTTCTGATTTTTATATTATTAATTGATTTTTTTTTTTAAATATTAACAGTAAGGCCATGTTTTTAACTTTATTGATTATTAATTAATTTTAACTTGTATTTTAAATAAGTGTTATATATTAAAAAAAAATCTAAAAATTTAATATAACATATATAAATGTTTAGATTTTCTTTTAGTAACACTTATATATAATAACATTTACTAATATACTTGTATTGATTTTTAACATTTAAATGTTTAATATATATTATATATACTATATGTTTATACTAATAAATCACAAAGTATTTGCTTTCTAAGCTTAATATGTTTTTTTGGTTTGAAATAATTTTTTTTTTTTTTTGGTATTAAGGTGAGGCCTTGCTCATATCTTTATTAATAGTTTTAAAGTTAGTAACTACATGGAGTTACTATGTATACAAAGTTATTCTATATAAATGC